CTTATTTTCTAGAATCAAATTGTAATCAGTTTTACTTATATGTATGTGTAACGGTTCACCTTTCCCGACGCCGCGGATCGGCTCGCCGGTTCCAGGATTCGGGAGGAAGGAGGAGATTCAGACTCGCTTATTCCTTATTAACAATGCTTTGGTTTATTCAAAAAGAAACAAGTAAACAAAATGTTTGTTGGCATAAAGCCTAAATAGAGAAACTTATTGACTACTCGGTATAAACAAAAGGTTTGTTGGCATAAAGCCTAAATAGAGAAACTTATTGACTACCGGTATAAACAAAATACGGAGGCGTATAGCCTGTAGCGGTGTCCGGAAAGATTTACAAATTACCCGGTATAACTTAGAGATACGGTGTATAGCAGGAAGAGACCGGAAACCGGGAAACCCGGCGTAACAACGAGAAACCCGTTGCCCGGCGTGTAGCAGGAAGAGACCGGAAACCGGGAAACCCGGCGTAACAACGAGAAACCCGTTGCCGGCGTGTAGCAGGAAGAGACCGGAAACCGGGAAACCCGGCGTAATGACGAGAAACCCGTCACCCGGTGTTAGCAGGAAGAGACCGGAAACCGGGAAACCCGGCGTAACAACGAGAAACCCGTTGCCCGATACTAAAGGTAGGAGGCCAGAAACCGAGAAGAAACCGGCGTAACAACGAGAAGCCCGTTGCCTGGCTAGGAGGTCCGGAACAGGACTGGTGCCGGCTCATGCGTCGAGCCGGCTTATATACCCTGTCGGCGGTTCCCCACTCTACATCGAGGCTGTGGTGGGGGTAACGCCGGCGTCGTAGTGGGGCGCCTCTGGGGGTTGTAGTGGGGCGCCCCCCTGGGGTAGGGTGACCCGTGTATCGCTTATGTTTCTGCGTTTAGGGGCGCCTTAGGCGCCATAGCCTCAAGTGGCGAGCGGGTGATCGGCCCGCGAGGCGTTAGTAACGGCCACGCCGTTACATATGTATGTTCAATGTGAACTTGCACTTGAATAAAATATCACAGTTACTTTTCATGGTAATATATTATTACTAAATTTAGATAATATACACTTTACGTATGTTCACACTTTGAACTGGCACCTTGAATAACATATCAGTTACTTTTTATGGTAATATATTATTACTAAATTTAGATAATATACACTTTACGTATGTTCACTTTGAACTGGCACCTTGAATAACATATCAGTTACTTTTCGTGATAATTTATTATTAGATCATTTAAATTTTTAAAGGTTTAAATTTTTGAGTACCTTCTTTTGAACATGGCCTGACCTTTTCATTTTTATGATTTTTTTAAGATAAGAGTTTATAAAATGTTTTATAAAGTATGTTTACTAAATGTTGATATTTGTTATTATAATTTGCACTAGTATAATTAGATTATGTATCTCAGTCTTCCACAAAAATGTCGAGATAGGAATATTTAAATGACCTTTATAAAGTTTTTATTCATCGTAATGATAATCATGGGTCATTATTATTTAAGGTGTACAACATTATTTGCGAAAGATTTGAGGGTTTGTTTATCTAATAGCTATTAAGTTCGAGCAACTTACAGATGGATGAAAATTTAATTTGCAATGATAATTGAGATGATAACAGAATTTCGCCTTCTGAATCTTTGATTCAGTGTTAAACGTCAATTTCTTGTCGGGAGCTCAGGAATGCAGATAAGGGAGTTATGTAGAGATCGGGTTGCTGACTATCGCACTGCCAAATCGATTTCTTACATCTAGGGGTACATATGTATTGTTCTTGTTTAGCCTTTTACATATTAATAATATTGATCAATCAATTATGGGGTACTTCGTTTATGATATACAAGTATTCGTACTTGATCAAAAGGTTCCTCATATTGTTAATTATAAATCATAATTAATCAATGCAATATTGAAAAGCTTAATTGTAACTTAAATGTATATATAGTCGAATAACGTTTAATCGTACTTACAGAATCAGAATTTTATTTGGATGAGAACTCGGGATGATTAATATATTTTTAATCATTGTATAAAATTTAATGTGCATAGAATTCTATAAATATGATTATAGAATAATTAAAGCGTCTAATATAAGTAATCTTAACATTGATAGTGCATCGTATTGTATTGACATTTACATCGGTGGGCGGTTTAATACTATTGTTAAACTTTAAAGTGTAAGACAGGCAATAAGAGCCAATTGCGGAAGACAGTGCGTTATCCCAACGAAACTAAATTTTTTTGTTAGAATTAAATATCTGTGCACAAGGCACCATATTTTACTTGGTCACGGCCAAGATTTTAAAATATGAAATAATCTCATCTTTGAGATTTAATTTCAATAATCCTTTAACCCCCCTACGGAAATAAATAAATGCAAGAGAAAAATATAGATCCGAAAGTCGCTGAATCGGGAATTGCACCCGAGACCTTTCGCTTGCCCTTTCTCTTGCATTTATTTATTTCCGTAGGGGGGTTAAAGGATTATTGAAATTAAATCTCAAAGATGAGATTATTTCATATTTTAAAATCTTGGCCGTGACCAAGTACAATTTGATGCCTTGTGCACAGATATTTAATTCTAACAAAAAAATTTAGTTTTGTTGGGATAACGCACTGTTTTCCGCGATTGACTCTTATTGCCTGTCTTACACTTTAAATTTATATTTATATTACAGAGCCGTGTTAAACTTTTAACTTATACACGCTGGCATAAAGGCGTTTGTTTATCGACATTATTATATATATAGCAGAGAAAAGTATAGAATCGAAAGGATCTGAATAGCTCAGTTGGAAGAGCAGTCGCCCGGCAAGCGAAAGGTCTTGGGTTCGATTCCTGATTCAGCGACTTTCGGATCTATATTTTTCTCTTGCATTTATTTATTTCCGTAGAAGGGTTAAAGGATTATTGAAATTAAATCTCAAAGATGAGATTATTTTATATTTTAAAATCTTGGCCGTGATCAAGTAAAATTTGGTGCCTTGTGCACAGATATTTAATTCTAACGAAAAAATTTAGTTTTGTTGGGATAACGCACTGTCTTCCGCGATTGGCTCTTATTGCCTGTCTTACACTTTAAATTTATATTTATATTACAGAGCCGTGTTAAACTCTTAACTTATACATGTTAAACTTTAATTCTTGTGCTTAATAGTGTCGATATCTGTTGTACGTGTTAATGATGTTTGATATTGTTATAATCGAAGTATACATAAGTATTCTTAAGGTATCATTTCATGTGCAGCATACTGCTGCCGCAGCAGTTTGTTGCTATTGGTGAAGTTCAATTGAACGAACAGCAAAGGCAGCAAAGTAAAAGAACACACAACTAGTTGATTCTAATTATTGTTATTCTTATATTAGTTAAATAATGGATTTTAAGGATAAAATAGATTATTGTGAGAATATAAAAGCAAAAATCGTAATTTTAACCTCGAAATAATAAGAGAACAAAGAAATATGCTCTAATAAATTTTGATCTCGTGACTGATTTGCTACTGCAGCATGCTGCATATGAAAAGGCATCTTTATAGGGGAACATCTGGTTAGTTCCGCTGGTTATGCACTATTTCTGGGGTCCCTAGACGACGCTTGATTGGTTGCATAGTTAGGACTAGATGGAGATGCTTGGTTCTCTGGGTGGAAACCCCAGATCCGATGGTCTTAACTAATAATACAAAAAGGCAAAGATAATTAAGTTTAAAACAAATAATAGTACATGATAGTTGTTAGTAATCTTATTTCTACTTGAGTACGAGCAGAGTTGGGTAATTCGGCTGTTAGAGCAATTTTCTACATGACATGTATAATACACGTATTATACGTAAAAATAAGTATTATACATGAGGTACGTTCAAGAATCATTCTTTTAGCGCTATGAGCGTATTTATCAGCATTTTTCCGAACGAACTCATCTTATCATTTAGTATTTCATGACTTAAGTCCTATATAAAACAATTTTTTGTTGTAAAAAGATAATTTAATTTATTTTTAAAAAATAATTATTTAACTTGTGATTTAATAATTTAGTTGATAGATTCGCGAGTATTCTGTTACAATATAAACATAAAGCAAAAGTTTTATCCTTTTTAATTTTTTAAAAATTTCCTACATCTCAATAACAATATTGCGGTCGCTCACCATAATTCACATAATTTATTATTTTTAATACAATTTTAATAATGTCAAAATCTATAATTTATAAATTACTACATATAAAATTACTAATAATTAAAGATGCATCTGCATTGACTGCAATAATTATTGGCTCATGTAGCGCCATCATAGATATAGGAGACATAGATCGGCCCCTACCGTAGGAGACAGCGTTGAAAGATCTAAAGGACAGAGAGATGATTCCGGGGTTCTCTGTCCTTCTCTTTTTTCGCGTGGTGGGGACTGCGTAGGGATGGGTAAAAACGGAACAAGCATGCGCATAGGAGAAGTAGTCGGCATGCAGATTCCCCTCATTTCGTGTACACTGAACGTCGATATATAGACACAGTAGCATTACATATTAAACAATATCATTTTTATGTTTGTATATTTTTATTGTTTAATATGTAATGCTACTATGTGTATATATCGACGTTCAGCGTACACGAAATGAGGGAAATCTGCATTCCGACTACTTCTCCTACGCGCATGCTCGTTTCGTCACGTATACTGTACTGAAATGCTATAGATAGTACAGTAAAATAACCAGAAATATCTGATTTATGTGTTGTAATTGAAAATTTATTTATTTTACGTTATTTATTTTAATTATTTATTTAGTTTACGTCACGTATACTGTACTATCTATAGCATTTCAGTACAGTATACGTGACGTAAACTATAGCAAAATGTCTCAGCTCGTGCGACTCACGGGGTACCGAGAACCGTGCTTCTATACTCATCTATATTCTTTGATATAACTGATAATAGGGAAATATCAAATCTGTCTGCTAAATAGATAGAGGTTATATGTGACTTTAGTTGTATCATAGACATGTCTATGGGTTATATCAACGAAGAAACATCAGGGTATGTTATTTCATGTTTATAATTATCACTCCAAAATGAACGACCAGGTATCTTTTTTCGAAAAATATTATTGCTCATCTCATTTTTTTAGAAATTTTCGTAGCTCGCACTAAATGATAAAAAAAAACCTGCCTCTTATATTATAATTGTTTATAAAAACAAAAATTATATTTATCTTAATTGGTCAAACAAGACTATTAGAATTAAATTAGAAATCATGAAAAATAAATAAATTTTCAATCACAACTCATAAATCAGATATTTCTGGTCATATGTATATTTTTGACATTTTTTTGTGTATGTTATGTGAAAAAGCCTCCAAAATTTGTATAAGATTTCTGAAATATTCTGTATAAACATTCTGTGCAAATATGCAATTAAGCTATATATTGATATCGATTATCTAGAATTGGATAATTTTACTGTGAAATATTTAAGATTGTATAATTATCTGTCTCTGATCTTTTTATAAAACACGTTATATAATCATTGTTTTGCAGATTCATGACTCGTCAGAATTTAAACCACCTATACCCAAATGTCGAAGAGCTATAAGATCAAAAGAGAAAAGTTCACATACAATTATTGTTTCGCAGATTCATGACTCGCCAGAATTTAAACTATCTGCACTCAAGTCTCGAAAATCTATGAGATCAGAAGAGGAAAGTTCACATTTACACAATAAATTTCACGAGTCATATATGGAAAGTAACATATCTAGACGACAAAAATTAAAATCTAAAAATAAAACATTTAAAGATGGTAGCATTAATGATAGACAAATAGAGAGTTCTGAGGATGAGGATGTTGAAGAGAGTGAGAAAGAACTGTCGTTTCATTCGCAAAATGATTTTTCTTTAAAGAAGTTGTCAAAACCTGAGAAGAGTCCTCAGTCACCTGTAAATAAACAAGATATAAATAGTTTTTTTCTAGGATCTATCATTCCATATTTTGTAATTATTTTAGCAATCTTATTCGGGTTTCTTATTTTGGTATCGTTTTTAAGTACGAGTGAAAAAAAATCAGCACAATCTGTAAACAATCGTATTTCGCTGTTCAAATCTATGGAAGAAATTAAAGCAAAATTTTATAATCAGGAATCAGATATTTGGAATGATATTTTTCTGCCATAAATGAAATAATATTGAAAAATCCTAAGGTACCTCAAATTATTCTATTATTTGCGAATGAGACAAGTACAATGGACTGTTTAGCCACATCACTGGCGCACATAAGCAGTAATGTTTTACATATAGACAGTCCTCTATACTTGAATCCAGAAAATTTTAGAGATGATGCTGGTGAGATCATCGACAACTTAAAAGAAAAGTCTTCAGCAAAAAAAGTTGTGGTACGTATACATGCATTCCAAGTATAATTCTTATCAGGGTTGGGTAAGTAAATCATTTTTTAAAACTAAGTTAAGTTAAAGTTAGTTGCTTATAAAATTAATTTAGTTAAAAGTTGCATGAACAAAAAATTAACTCAGAGTTAAGATGAAATTAACTGAAATGAAATCAAAAGTTAATTTTTAAAAACATTATTTATATTAAATTAGAATTTTGTTTGCTAATGCTTTTAAAATTTATAATAACAAATAACAAAGAAATTTTGATTTTTATATAGAAATATATGTTTTGGTAATTACAATTGATGACAAATGAACATAAAAATTAATACTACTTTAATTAAAAATATGTTTATAAAAAAAAACAATGATATTCAGAGATTTTAAAATTTAACTTAGAAAAAAAATTAATAATTTAAGTTTTCAAAAATAACTAGTTGAAGTTAAAAATTAATACATTTTAAATTAACTAAGTTAAATTAAAAGTCATCAACTTTTTAATTTTTTCTTAACTTTTAATTAATTAACTAGTTATTACTCAACCCTGATTCTTATACACTAGGCTAGCGATGGAAGTAAATTTTTTTTTTAATTGTTACATTGTTTCGAATTCTATATGATTGTTACTTAAAAAATAGGTTCAAAGTAGATTTAAATCTGAATGAAATAAATTTGTACTCTCTTTGAATTGAAAAAAATACCTAGGTAGTGTGATTACAGCTTAACATAAAATGTAAAATATCTTATAAAATATTCAAATTTCGGTAATCATATCTTAATACTTTTATATACAGAATAATGAGACCAATCAATTAGCGTAAAGAAAACATTGTTTTTAAAAAAAAGTACACAGCTGCATTTGTTGTAATTACATACTTTTTAAAATAATTATTTGGTCTCATTCCATGACCCTGTGTGTGTATAATCTTCTCTAGAAAATAAAACTTCGAATTCAATTTTGATTACACACACAAATTCAATTTTGATATCAAATTCAAATATTAAGTACACATTGAACTCGAATCTTATCCCTCTAATTTTAGTTATGCGTTAACAACTTTGTTGCAGATTATTCGCAATGTATTGAACATTAATCCGGAAGCAATAAAAGTATTACATAATCTGTGCGATAAAATAAACCCTTTAATTAGGGAAGCTATTTACATCCTCACTATGCAAACCAATGACTATCAATTATCGCAGAAAAAGATGAAGTTTGTGGAAGATCAATTTTACCATAAATTGTCAAAGAACATTGATCGTGATATTTTAATGGCACTTGTAACGCGCATCACTGATGGCGCAATTATATCGGTGCAACCGGAACCGCATTTAAGATATTGTTAAGCAAAAATATTTAAAATTTTAAAGGCACATAATATTAATAATGTATTACTGTAAATAATAAGATTAGATATAAATTATAAGTAGCAACATAAGGCTCCTAAATTGTCACTTGTAGTTATATCGGATTAAGATTATTTACAAGAGATTATTAAGAGAGATTTAATTTTCTTAATTTTTTTTTAATCATACAATATCAAAAACGAGTCTTTTCGGCATGTTGCCATTGATATTTTTTATTCAACTCTATAATTTATTTCACAAAATTTTCTTTTTTTTATTATCTTAATATAAAGCGACTACAATGTCGAATTAGGAGCTTCAATTTTTTTCTTTTTGAATCTGCAAGAATACAAATTATTGTAATAATTGTGATATTAAGTTTCTCTCTAATTGCAAATTAAAGAAATATAAGATTTGGATGTGTTAATTTAATTTTATTATGCCAATATTACATGAAATAAATTTTATTTTTAGTGATTCTTCTAATCGTAATTTTATACTTGTATGTATTTTCAAAAAATATATAATGACACATGTTGTATCTAATATTTTCAAATAACGCTTATTTAGCTTGAAAATAAAATACAATTAGGACTATTTCATGTGTATATTTCGATTTTTATATTAATGTGTCAGTCGGCAGTCTGTACAGTAATTGAATAATATCTAACATTATATTCGACTTATTGCCAATTTACAAGATTTCTCTTTCATTGTAATTTTAATTTAGTAAGTAAAATAATTCAGGATAGTTATAAAGTAAAATTACAAAATTATAAACATACAAGTTATTACTGCAATTACAAAAATACATGAAAATAATAAAACTTAGTATTTTATATACATTGTTATTTATGTATATAATAAACAATAAATTAAATAAACAAATATTTAGTAGTTTCTCTTATTAATTTGCAAACTTGATGTAAATAAACTAAATTTTACTTATTGTTAGTGTAACATAGTAGATGCGTAAAAGAATGATACATATAAATTATCATAAATATTGTTATACAGATCTGATTTCCGTTTTATTTTTTATATCATTTAAAAGATTGTTAATTTGATGTGCTCTTAATATTATATATATATATATATATATATATATATATATATATATAAAATATAGAAATATAATATTTATATAAATATACACATATATATTATATAGAAATCAAATTTCATAAGTATTAATTCATGAAATACATTCTTTTTTAGAATAACTTTCAAAAAAGTAAACTTAAAATAAGTTTTAACAATAGTTATATAAATTTTAATCTTAAGTTCTTTATCAATATATTTATAATACAGATCTTTAGAAAAATAAAATATATTTTATTCGTTTTTAACCAGCGCTCTTTTAATTTTTTTTTAAATAATGAAATATCATTAAACAAACAACTAGTGATAAATTTATAGATAAATAATATGCAATATTTAAATCAATTTATGTGCATTTTAAATAATGGAATAGAGTAACATTTATTTTATTAACATTCAGATCAAAAAATAGTTCAAAATTTCATTAAAGTAATTATAATTGTAGAAACTATTTTTTCTGTTAATATTTCATAATACACTTAAAATGATTCAAATAATTGAAAAAACCTGTTCTTCTATGCTGTATCGAGTAATAAAATTTTATAGAATTTTCTCCTACATTTTAATTAGAAAGAGCATGTACAATAAATAGTGACAATATTTATGTATAATTACTTTGGAAGTAATTTTATAAATTGGCAATAAGTATCTGTAGTTGCATTTGCTAAAATGATTAATTAGCAAAGTTTCAATTACTGAGTTACAGTACAGTCATTTTCTGTCATAATTCAAATCGGTAACTAAAAATCGAGATGGTATATATAATTTATATAATATAATATCGTCAAACCTAGATAATAAATGTTTTATATATATATATATATATATATATATATATATATATTCATAGACTTTTCATACAGAATGTCCACAATTTTATAATGTTCTGTACAAAATCAATATTATTTGCTTTTATCACCTGCATATATAAAGGGTTAAAAATCTGTCATATTAAAAAAAACTAATTATGAAACTTTATATAATAAAAATTATTTATTCAATCTATAGATATTTATAATTGAGATCAATTAATTATACTGGACAAAAATATTAGTTTATACAATAACTGGAAGTCAAATTTTTTCTTGCATGATTAATACAAAAGAAACAAAGTATTGTACGTATCTTAATACATACACAAAATCATGCTTATTATAAAATACTTTTATTAATTTTTTGCAAACTGATGCATTATTTGTAGATGTAACTATCATTTTACTTTTTAAGGGCACTCTGTATAGAATAGCCTTAAAATTACGAGATACGTATTTACAGTAAAAAAGTTGGTCATGTTTCTATCTAGTTTAATAAGGTGGGTATCGCGTAGCGTACGTTGTCCGTGTTGGCTATATAGTCCCGTACTTCAGTCGTTCAGTTTGTATCTCGCAGAATAGTGCTAGTTTTTATTTTTATTAATTTTTTTTTTCGTAATTATGTCAGTCAAAAGTCGGACGAGATATGAGTCTGCCTCGATAAATTGTCTCGATCATTGTCTTCACTTCTATTCTTAAGCACTAAAAACGTTTATGCCTCGCGAAACTGAAACTGTCTCTCAGATACTAAATACATGCAGGTATGAATCTATAAGTGTTCCTACACAAATTGTTTCAAAGTTTTAATGCAAACGTTGTCGCAATTTGACATAGGTTTAAAAACAATAAATTTTAGATATATTTATACACAGCGCATTACAGTTTATCCAGAATAATCAGAAAAGAAAGAGATTAAAACTATACAAATTTTACTGTTTTTAATTTTAAATGAGAAATAGATCACCTTGAGTTACTATTAGTATTCTTTTTTTCGATACAAATAAACTGAAGTTATATGGGCAAATATATAAAACCATGTTTTGTGTCAATGTATCGCTTTAGAGATACTGTAAACCCCATAGAACAGAGATAACACTTAATGAATTAAAATTATATTCAGTATTTAGTCGATTAAAACTCAAAGCCTTGCACTGGTAGTTGGGAAGAATCTGGTGCAGTGAATTGATATTCCTGCCCTTGTGAATCGATAGAGGGCACAAGTCTAGTATCCTCTTCCTCGGATCCAAAGAATCGTTCGATAATATCAAAGGCCTTCTGATAAATATCCATATTTTGGTGAGATTGTAAGAACTCTATCTTGTCTAGGCCTAGAAAACATTTGGGGGAAAAAAAATATTAAATTGGCCCAGGTGTATCAGGGTGTATATCCAAATCTTAGAAATATAAATTCCCTGAGAATTCCATGATTTTTCGGGTACTTTTGTTCAAAATTCTAGGTAAAATTAAAGTATTTAAAAAAAAGGTAAGACTCTTCTCTCGACCGTACTGGCAAATATTATTTATTAAATCACAACGTTTCGACCCTTCTTTGAGTCCTTATCAAGTGATTTGTAAAAATAAAAATAAAATTATAATTTTAAGATGTCAAGAACGAACATAGTGTCGGTTTGACAACACGTCAAGACTCTTAGACGAGTTATTGGAGACTGTAAGGTATTTTAAATAATATTTAGAATACAATTTTGAAATAAGTTTAAATTTTATACATAATTTTTTAACATAAATGAAGTATTTTTTTAAATATAATATGTAATATTATATTAAATTATAATAAAATATATTTTAATATTTACTTTATATAAAACTAATAAATTTTATATTCTTTTAAAACTATATTTTAAAATCAAAGGGGCATTTTTTAAAAAATTCCCTGAGTTTAAATTAAATTCCATAATAATTTCAGGATTTTTCAAGGTAGAACAAAATTTCCTGAGAATTCCAGGTTTTTCCAAGGAGTATACACCCTGTGTATATTTGTGACATAAAATCTGTCCGATACTTTACCGTAACACTCTTCGATAAGAACTGCGTAAGGATTAAGACCATTGTGCATAGGTGCATCTTGCTCTCCCAAACGCAAAATATTTTCTAATCCGTTCAAAGCGACCTGAACAATTTTGGCATCCATGACAGTAAGTAGATCACACAATGGTGGAATACATCCTTGCATCGCGAGGTATCGAATTTGGTCGGGTGTTCCGCCGCTAGTAGCATTTGTAATTGCCCATGCTGCTTCTTTACGTGTTTTAAATTCAGCTTTACTCAAAATTTCAATTAAAACCGGAAAGATATTAGCATCAATCACTGCCTAAAAAAATAATAAGATGAAAATATCCATATGTATTTCAATTTTATTTAAGGCTCTTTTATTCCAGGCGCCAATCATGATGGAATTGTGACGTCAGAGGCGAGAAAAGACACTGAAAATTTTTAGATGCAATTTCGAAATAAAAAAATATTTCAGTAAAACAGCATTTCAGGTGGCTTTAGCACACTCTATCCTTTTCACTTTTGTAATCTCAATCAACAGCTATAAAATGATTGTAATGTAAAGCCAAGTTATTTAAAAATAGCATCTAAGAATTTTCGCCTCTGACGTCACAATCTAACATGGCCGTGGCGAGAATCCAGGAGCCTTAAAAAATATTTATTTTCTATAAAAATATTAATATTGTAAACAAAGTTATTTTATTATTACTATTATTATTAGCAGGGTTGGTAAAAAATTTGTTTTTTTTATTTTAAACAAAAAAACATTAATTTTTTTTATTTAAAACAATGTTTTATGTGTTCTTAAATAAGGAAAAACAAAAAAATGTTTTAGCAAATAAAAAAACACTTAATAACTTTGTAAATATTTAAATTTTTCATTTATGTTAAATATAACATTGCCAAAATTGACAACGCTAACTAAAATAAAGCAGTTTGGATTGAACTAATTGAATTAACTAATAAGTAGTTATTTAATATTAAAATTAAATATTCTATTTAAATAATATTTATTTTATTTATTATATTTTTATATCTGTTACATATATAAGATAAATAAAAAACTAAAAATTTTTTTTTAAATTTTGGAGCATGTAAATTTATTAGCTTTTGTTTTTGTTTTCCTTTACTGGTTTTTTTTCAAATATATTTTAATTGCGATGTTTTAAACGGTTTAAAACAAAAATGTTTATTATACCATTTTTTTTAACGCAAAGATAGGGGCCGTAACTTGCAGAATATGTTATTGGCATTACCCACATTTATGCATAAATTTTGAATCGAAAACGGTGAATCAGCTGAGGACCTTCCCTTGTCAGTACATATTTAACTTAATCTCAATTATTACTATTATATCAGAAATACAACGTACTTGTATCTGCTGTGGATTACCGGCAGTAATGTTAGAGACTGTCCAACAAGCCTCTTTACGAACACTTTCCCGTGGCGAACTTAAAAGGTGCAATAAACATGGTAATGCTGAACAATTTAACACAACTTGGGTTTGCACGTCATCTCCGGTAACTATATTTCCTACAGCACGAAGAGCTGCGCTTATTACGTTATTCTGTTCATGCCTGAAAAGGGAAAAAAATGTTTATCATATAATTAAATAAAATTAATTTTTCGTGCACAATGCATTTTACATAAATTCCAACATACATAAGAAGTTCTACAAGTCGTCTGCAAACACCGGCATCAATAACGGCTTGGATTTTATCATTCGGACCATCGCTCAAGTAAGAGAGCGCCCAACAAGCATCAGCGAGCACATCGTAATCGGTATGATTGAGAAGATGTGCTAACACTGGTAGACATGGAGCAACTTTTGCGAAGGCCGGTGCCGGATTTTTTCCTCGACACAAATTGGATAATGCCCATACCGCATTGCGGGTCATAGAGAGACGCGTTGCCTTTGATAATACCCTAAAAAAAAGTGATATATTGGAATATGATTTCTTGTACAAAGTGCTATGTAATTTTTTTTATTGTAATAATTTTTAAATTATAATTTTTTAAAAATTATAATTTTATATATAAATACAATTAAAGAAGGCATTAAGAGCCATACGCGGATGTTCCTGCGTACATTCCAACAAAACTTATACACGTCGGCTGAAAAAGCGTTATTTAGAGTATCTAAGCAGAGAAAAGTATAGAATCGAAGGGTCTGAATGAATAGCTCAGTTGGAAGAGCAGTCGCCCGGCAAGCGAAAAGTTTGATTTCCGATTCAGCGACTTTCAGATCTATATTTTTTTCTCGCATTTAATTCTTTATTTATTTCTTAGGGAAGTTAGAGGAATTTTAAGAAATTAAATTTCAAGTAAGAGATTATTTTGTATTATAAATTATTAAATACAAATAAGTAAGGCCTAAGAGCCGACGCGGATATTCCTTGCGTACATCTTCAACGAAAATTAATTTTTCGTTGGAGATAAACGAAAACACAAGTCACATATTATTCTTGGTTTACTACCAAGATTTTAAACATAAAATATCTCATACTTGAGATTTAATTTCATAAACCTCTATACTCCTCTAAAGAAATAAAGAAATAAACGCGACAGAAAAATATAGATCCGAAAGTCGCTGAATCGGGAATCGAACTCGAGACCTTTCGCTTGCCGGACGACTGCTCTTCCAACTGAACTATTCAGATCCTTCGATTCTATATTTTTCTCTACTTGTAAAATACTTTAAATAATATATTATAAAGTCTTGGTAGAACACCAAGAATAATACGTGCCTTGTGCATAATTTAAAAAATTAATTTTCGTTGGAATGTACGCAGGAACATCCGCGTATGGCTCTTAAGGCCTTTCTTAGTTGTATTTATATATTTAATATTAAAGAGTCTTAAGTTAATCTTAGTATAATAATTTTATTTTAAATAATAATAATATTATTATTATTATTACTTAAAATAAAACTATAATTTTGAAAAAATTATTAATTATTATTATTATTATTACTATTATAATTATCACTAATAATAATATTAATAATAATAATTATTATTATTACTAATAATAATTATTATTACTTAAAATAAAAAATTATAACTTTAAAAAATTATTTATTATTATTATTATAAATGATAATAATTTATACAAAAATAGTAAATATAAGGAAACGTACTGTAAGAGCGGAGTGAGGATACCGTTGGCTAATACATGATCTCTACATTCGGGACTGTCTCCTGCAATGTTACCCAATGCCCAAACAGCTTGTTCTTGTACATCTTCGTATTCAGAACCGAGTAAAGAGATAAAAGTAGGAACGGCTCCTGCATCTATTACGATACGTGTTTGCTGGGACGTACCGCTCGCTATATTTGTCAAAGCCCATGCTGCTTCGAACTAAAAATTAATATTACCATTTATATATGTACGTTTTTGACAAACTTATATGTATACTTCAGAGTTGAGAAGTAACTTGTTACTTGTAACTTCGTTACAATTAAATTTTTTTGATAACTTGACTTTGTTCCTTTTTCTGCATTTTTTACAGTAACTTAACTTATTGTTAGTTACATTTTTTTGCTAACTAGCAATCAATTTAATAGTTAGTTTATTTGAAACTTAGGGCTAACAATTTTTCGAAAAGTTACGACTGTCTGAAATTTTATGAATTTTTTAACTAAAAAATCTGAATTCTATAATTTTTATTCTAACAATAAATAAATAATATTAATTATTGTGTTAGAAGAAGTTAATTTATTACAAATTATTAATTTAATATATTTAATATGCATATTAAATTATTAATTCAATATATTAAATATATTTTTATTTTAAATTTAAAACAGTTGTAATTCATTGCATATAAAATAATATAGCACATAATCAAGTATGTGACATAATTCGGTAAAGCTTGAAATACATAAGATTATTATATTTAAGATATAATATAATCATTGCAAGAAAAAGTAACTAAAAAGTAACGATTCGTTACTTTTTGAATTATTATAACTGTAACTGTAACTAGATAATTTTACACAATAACTTTTTCAACTCTGATATACTTATATAATTTTAAGGATTTTTCGTTTTAAGGATTGATAATCGGAAAGAGTCCACATATTGAAGTTAATCTATTAGATATAGATTACTATTATTTACTATGTGTTTGTTCTTTATTATTGCACTGATAAATTGGTGCGATAAATTAAAGTGAGACAAGTATATTTTGTTTCATCAACTTATTATTAGATTAAGATATAAATATACACTAGTAGGGTGTATACTCATATATTAAAAATAAATTCCCTAAGGATTCCATGATTTTTCAGGTACTTTTGTTCAAATTCCATATAAAGTAAAAGTATTGTAAATAATATTTAGGATACAATTTTGAAATAAGTTTATGCTATACATAATTTTTTAACATAAATAAAGTATTTTTTAATATAATAATGTAATATAATGTTATATTATAATAAAATATATTTTAATATATATTTTATTACAACTAATATATTTTATATTCTTTTAAACTATATTTTAAAATCAAAGGGGTAATTTTTTTAAAATTTCCTTGAGTTCAAATCAAATTCCATTATTTCAGGATTTTTCAAAGGAGAATAAAATTCACTGAAAATTCCAAGTTTTCTGGATTTTTCCAGGGAGTATACACCCTGACTAGTTCAATGCAGCAATAAGGAACAAACTCTTTGACTTGAATTTTCTTATTGGTTTCATAAGAAAATTTAGATACTGGATAATTGATTAAAAATCCAGATGCTGGAATAAATGAATAAAAATCCATTTATTTTTGTTATACTAACCTGTAGAGTGCAATTTGTATTATTCTTAAGAAATTCAACAAATTGTGGCACGATTCCTGTTTGTATCACTTCATCTATAGGAGGATTTGGCTCTCTCGATAATAATTTTCTAAATTTTTGTGTTGCAGCCAATTGATCTTGTATGTTTGGACTATATAGCGCATCTACCATTTCGGATGTTATAATACCAGGAGATTGCTAAAATACAAAGTAAATAATACAAAATACAGTAAAAAAAGAATACTGACATATAAATGCTACATAAGATGTGTGTTTTACGTGCCTGCAAATCTTAAAAATACATGATTACATTACCGATTGTGCTGTAGGATGTGAATATTCATCTGTAGCTGTAACATTATCCTCATCTGCAACTATGTTAGGGACATTGCGACGTTTTGATAACTGCTGTTCACGTTTTTGTTTTCTTAATTGAACTCCTTCTTCTTCTCTGCGCCTTCGTAATTCTTGTGAATCTAATCCTACATTTTTATAACGATGTTTATGTGTAGGTCCAGTTGACATCTAAAAATATTACAAATAAGCTTTATACAATACTTATAACAGTATAAAAATATCTAATTTTTTTTATTAAACTAGAATATAATAGAAAAATATAGCATAATTCATAGATTTAATATATATTAATATATATAGTATTACACATTTTTAATATGTTACAAAAATATAAAATAATATATTCTAATTATCAGTTTTTGTCACAAGTAATAAAAATATATAAACATAACTTTTGTATTAAACTATGGTATCTTTGAAAATAAAACTTTCAAAAAACTACTTAAAGTTGAAAAAAATTGTCATATTTCTTATGTATATATAGATTACATGTATCAAACATATTAATAAGAAATATAACAGCAGTGCAATGTTATTTTATAATATATATTAAAAAATAGTTTCTTATAAATTTACTATTTTATATTTCAGTTTTAATTTATAAACAAAAACTTTTGGCAAAAAATTTGTATATGTATTATAAATTTGTATTATAAAAGGAAGTTTCTTAAAATTATATTTCTTAAAGTTTCAATAGTTTTGCTATCATCAATATCAAAAGAGATAAAATAGCATTATATAAAAAATTTTTTATTAAAATACTGCAATATGTATTTTTTCTAGAGATATTTAAAAATTTTAAAATTTCTGTAAATAGAACCTGGACTGTTTTTTACTCAGAATGATCTCCAGAACAATCTGTCAAAATTAATTACACTCCTTCCAAATCATCTTGTATATCCTGTGTTTCACATGTACGTGTATATACATATACAGAATGCATTCGTCATATAAATGGAATTTACAAATAGTAAAATACAAAAACCAGTAATATTAAAAATTTACTTACGGAAAAAAAGCAAAAAAAAATTTTTTTTTTTACGAAGGAAAAAAATAATAGTCCACGTTAAAATACCATAAGCAGCCTTTTCCGCATTATCAAATATCAGATCTCAACCAAACGTTAGAGGGGGGGAGGGGGGATTCCGACAATGGATTAATCCCACATGAGGGTTAGGCGTGATCGAAGTCGGGAGAAAAATGATTCGGGACGCAAAGATGCTTTTTTTTGTCCGCGCGATCACGTCGCGAATATTCGCGATCGCGGATTTTCGCAACGTGATCGGTCAGTTAGACATTTTGGCATCTCGCGATCTCACGGTAAGACTGCGTGACATTGGACAGAGTCTGAGAAATCTCTCGGCTCGACACGTCACGCGCGCGTGACGCGATATGTTTGACGGGGTGAATCGCTGTCGCGATCTCTTGGGACGCTTTTCTATACTTACGGCTGTGAAATCAGATTCGAATCAGACGGATCAGGCGTGAAAGATCATAAAATTTAACGCAAATCCAGACGCCGCCGCCGCAACTTTTCCCTTCCACCACGAACTATGTGTATATACTAACAACGATGGAGGAAAATCTCGCTTCAAGCAGAATTCGTGGATTTTCCTTCGACCATGGTATTGTGACGTCCCGCCATTGGTCAAAATCCTAGTTTTTTCGCGCTATCATTTTCTTTACTTTATTACAATAAAGCGGGAGCATACATTTTTGCACAGGCTCGTTCGGCTCGTTCTACAATACGTCGTGTGACGTCCCGCCATTTTTTCGAATCCATATTTTGCGCAATATAAGTATCTCTATTATTAATCAATAAATATGATTATATTCAACAATTATATAATTATCTAACTTAGAATTAATCGATTTTCATTATTATTTACTAACCACGCTAGGGTCAGCCTTCCTGGTTCTAATATAACGGCCCAGCCAATCATACGCCGTCCCTAGACATCTGGAAGTAACAAGCCACTACCTAAAGGAACCGATTCGCACTTTTGTATTAAGGGTGCCGTCACATGAGGCGTAACTTGCGTACGCGTAACTTGCGGTAACTTACGCCGACCAATCACATTGTCTCATTTCAGCATCAGCTTCTGTCTAGTTATTTTATGCTTTGTACGCTATTATCGTTACGCCGAATTCAATTTCTGGCGGAAGAAACGCTGATGCGTATTTGTAAAAAAAAACACACAACTTCATTTGTGCGTTCTTCTGCCAAAGACTAAAGACAAAGAAGTTAATTTTAATCCATCCATACCTATACATTAATAAGATAAACAAGAATAATCAAATAAAGGTAAGTTAACAAAAATCTAATTTATTATATAAGCTTTAATAGCGTTCGATTAAAAACAGTCTACTGCTCACGACATGTGATACAAAATTTTAAGTTTAAATTAAGAGTTTAACAAGGCTCTGTAATATAAATATAAATTTAACGTATAAGACAGGCAATAAGAGCCAAATCGCGGATGACAGTGCGTTATCCTAACGAAACTAAATTATTTTTTTCGTTAGAATTAAATACCGGTGCACAAGGAACCAAATTTTACTTGGACATAGCCAAGATTTTAAAATATGAAATAATCTCATATTTGAGATTTAATTTCAATACCCCTTTAACCCCCCTACGGAAATAAATAAATGAATGCAAGAGAAAAATATAGATCCGAAAGTCGCTGAATCGGGAATCGAACCCGAGACCTTTCGCTTGCCGGGCAACTGCTCTTCCAACTGAGCTATTCAGATCCCTTCGATTCTATATAACAAAGAAAAGTATAATATATATAACAGAGAAAAGTATAGAATGGCTCTATTGGTCGAGAGGAATCAAGTGGAGATTGTGGTTTTAAAATTAAAAGAGCTGACTTAAAAAGTATTCTCATTATTTTTAAATTGTATATTAGTTGGTCTTCGTACTTTTTGCATTTGAAATCTGTTTTTTCTTTCTTTAATATTTAACATATATTGATTTCTTGTTTTACATGCATGAATTTTTGAGAATTTTGAGCAATATGAACATCATAATGTAGAAGGTCGACACGACCGTTGATCACGGTCACGGCATGTGTGTGTCATGTGATTTTTGGCTGCCGGGCGCGCGATTCGCGCCCGGCAGCAAGAGCGATGCGTGATTTCAGCCAGTCGAGATACGCACCTGACTTCGTCAATATCGAAAAATATGTGTACGCGAAATGAGTGAGCCGATCGACGAAATAGGGGTAAACAATATAGTGATTGGCCACTTAAGCAAGATCGCAAAACAAAAATCGAATTATGAACCTGAATTCAATAATTTAGAGAAAAAAACCACTAGTACTAATCTCTGTGAAAAATAATAATAATCCATAATAAAATAAAATCCATCATAAAAATTTAGGAATTAATAAAAATTATGTAAAAAAAACTCTCTTGTCAAAAAAGATAATCATTGGCTATATTAACACAGTTATTGTACAACAGTGCGATAGTGATTGGCCTCTATCCATGCTAGAATGAGTAAATATATATATATATATATATAATTAAAGAGTGACAAAAAATTATTTAGCATCAAAAAACCAAAATTATTAAATCAATATATATTTTATTACATATATTTAACATAAGATGAACATATTAATTAAAATATTAATTTGTTTTTCACAATATTTTTTTTGGTACTTGTTATCTTTCTTAACTTTTGGCATTTTGTTCAATTTAGAAATTAATTCTAAAAATTAAAAATTTGTAAATTAAGAATTTTATCAATTATTATAATTTGTATTATAAACTGATTTATTTATAATAAATTATTTGTTTCTATTTTATAATGATATAATACTAATACCCTATAGTATTGAATATTTTACTTACAGCTGACTGAAAAGTAGTATATTTTCTAGTAATATCAAATTATTGTTTTAAAGATGTTTTAACAATCCATTTTTACGACTGCATGAATAGTACTAATCTTCAATTTGATTTTTAAAATATTTTTGTTAATTTTTTTAACTTTTGGTATTTTTTTTGATAGATTAATTTTAAAATATAACTTAAAAATTAAAAATTTTTTTAATAAAAAATTTTATTAATTATTATTTTTACTTAAATTTATATATTTTTAATAAATTATTTCTTTCTATTTATTATAATAGAATATTGAATATTTTATTTACAGCTGAAAAATATATCTTTTTAGTAATATAACAAATAAACTTACTGTCTTATCTGTCACTCGATATAAGGGGCCAATAACTGTCACACAGTTTCCATAACCACAAAACAATCATTGGCCGAGTGGCCAATTACTGTTGTAAAACGTCAATCGTGTGTTAGTCGTTGGCATAGTTATAATTTTTAAAATATATATGTATTTTTAACGATACGAATTTTTTTTACACAATTTAAACTTTATTAATGCATGTATATCACGAAAACAAAAATTATATGTCATAAAAACATTTAAAAATTTGCAAATCGTTGGCTCCACTCTTACGGTTTTTTGATTGAATGGCAACAGTTTTCAAAGTATGTTACCAAAGTCATTTTATTCATTATTTATATAAATTGCAATACATAGAAAATAATTAAATATTAATTGTATTTGAAGCAGAAAAATGTATTAAACATTTTTTATTTATAATTAAAAATATTTTAATAGTATTTCCTTATAATCTTTAATTTTTTAAAATGTAGCCAATCATTGTAGAGTGGCTAATAACTGTACTGTTTACCCCTACTTCGTGTATCTTAATACTGTTACGAAATACATTTTGTGATTCTCCCTTCTGGAACTCTCCGATCTGTTTCATTTTTATGCTACATATTAATTGTATAACATCCTACAATAATGCATTATTTTCTACATTGCATGTTTGAATCTTTTCAGCACAAATGCGGGTATTGTAAATGGCTGTTCCAATTTTCTATTAATTTTGTCGAGCATGAATGTTTCAAACATTATGTGGAAGATAAGAATCGCATCGTTGTAGATAAAAATTTTGTTGTGACCATATGTTATAACAGTATGTTTACTACATTCTTTGCATATATTTTGTTGTATCATTTTATTGTATTATAGTAAATAAATGTATTTATTTATTTAATAATCCAAGAGAATGCAAAGACTGCGGAAGGTCCTACAGATACTTTGGATGAACTCTTGATCGAAGCAATGAGGGCTCTCGTCTTCTACATATTTCGTTTATCTTGTCACTTTGCCAGCCATTTTAAATATGCGCGTTTTATGGAACCCAAAGCATCGGTTCCCTATGAAGCGTATTATTTGGGACGCGTAGGTTACGAAAACCAATCACAAGTCCTATTTAGCATTTCTGTTAAAGCATGTGTCGCTCTGATTCCTCTAGGGAAATAGTTCTACAACACACCGTGGGTTGGCGTACGACGAGCGGACACACGGTGATGAGAAAAAAAGAAGAGTCGAGTCTAGATAAATAGAATAGATAGAAGAGTTGAGTCACGTTTTGTAAAAAAGAAGAATAAAGATCTCTTGGTTGTTAATTAATAGAAACTTACCCTTCGTGTAGCATTTAATCTTTACACCTGCGGAGTCCGCTACATAATTGGTGACCCCGACGTGATCGCGATAAAAACAAAGATAAAAGGAGTGAGTGCCACTTAATAAAAAAAAAAAAAAAAAAAAAAAAAAAATGCCGGTGGATCGGTCACCGAAACGTCCCTCAGGGGCACTACAGATTCATCCCTGTAGTGTACGGGTGTCGCAATCCCGAGGTACCCGAGCTGGAGTGTCTGGTGATGGATGAACGAGGTGTGATGGGCGTGCAGGCCCTAAAAAGGACTTGTCCACTGCACTAGGTGAAGGAAAACACTGACATAACACCCGGGGGGAGGCCCCGTTAGCTGAGTAAGGCAACCTCCTAAGGGGAAGGAAAACCCCCGACAGAAAAAACCAATTTCTTTATTACAGATGATGGAGTCCAATAAAGAAGAGAACGTCCTGGGTTCGGATACCAGGAACCGGCGTGGGGAGGGGGGGGGGGTGTAGGCCTGGCTCCCTCCATGTCGTCATCGTACGACAGGTCGTCTGCAGCTTTGCCAGCTGGGGCTGCAGACAGGACAGCTACAGTGCCGAGGAGTGAAAAAGACACGGTGCGTGAACGGTTACGCGACCTAGCTCGTAGCTGGGATACTCGTGATCGAAGTGTTGATCCGAAGGAACTTGCTGCGCGTATTCGCCGAGTTCTTCTGGAGGGTGATGTGCGAAAGTATCTTGTGTTGCCCGAATACAAGGTACTGTCGTGGTACGTGGATGCCTTCTTTCGGGAGTGCTCGCGTGGAGAGTCGGTCTTTTGTACCGGACATGTTTGTGTCCAGTTCTTTGAGCCGGTGGTGCCTATTAGCTCATCGGACTCACTGACTGGGGAGGGGTACGAGGTGGAGAGTGACGGTATTCGGCCTCTTCCCTCACCTGAGAAAGTGAGAGGAGGCAGCAGTGGAGAAGATCGGGATGTTGGAGAACCATCGTTCATGTCCCTGTCGTCGCCAAGTTCTCCGGAGGATGTAGGAAACCGACGGGATAAGTCGTGGACTCCTGGAGACAAGAGGCTACTGGA